GGGTTCGCATTTCTATGAGAGAGTCTTTTTAAGTCACTCCCATTGTAAAATTTTTCTCACGCCTTTCGCCTTCGATCCCATGCTACTTTTTAAAAAACGTGGCTCAGTTTAATCATTTACCGAATTATATAACGATCCTATCTTTATCTACCAATCCACAGTAGTATGAACTAAACTATCTACGCTAGTGAATTCTCTGAACAGCTGACACGTGACAAGAAGAAAAGTGCGAAATACATAAGACAAATGTAATCTTACTTTCATATCAGTTAATGAAAGAGAGAATGTACCTAATAAATGCTACTGAATGAATGTAAATACTTAAATTTGCAGTGAAATTCTTTATAATCAATATCGATTTTTTGTTGCATGCTTCAGATCCGAAAGACCAGAAAACACGGAATACAAAGAACTCGCCATCTAAAATATTTGAAAAATGAATATTAATTTAATGCGCCTTTAATTCATACCAATTACAATATTGCATAATTTAATTAAATAACTTACTTTTATCGGAAACTTTTTAGTAACATTAAAGAAATCGTTCATTGACAAGCAAAGGGATTCTTTACCAAATCTCTTCATGAAATTCAAAATCTACGCAACAAATTACTTATATTATCGTCTGATAATTCAAGATAAACCAGAGAATGTTAAATTAAAATATTTCACCTTTAATTTCTGTTCTAAAGTCAAGTTGCAGTCAGCGAATCTTCTGATGTCTTGAAAAGACGTCTGCATCTGAAAGAAGAAAGTAAATATATTATTTTTCAATCTGCAGAAATGAGATAACATTAATACTTTTCGTAGTGTACATTACACTGGATGTGAATGCAGAGAGCTGAAATGCTATTAATATATTCATTAAGGCGATTACAACAGAGAGTACCCAAGTACCCGCTTTCAACTCAAAAGTCATGTTCGCAAAGATGGAATTAAAGTAAAGTACGCCGGTTTGCATTAACAAAATGCCATAGAAGATTGATAATACGTAATTAAACGGGCCGTTTAGTTGATTGAAACAATTCCAAACTTCATCGTGTTGTGCCATTATTTCTTCTAATTCAGAATTTAAATTCGGATTATTCTTCTTCAATCGATACAAATCTTCGGATATTTTCTTGAAAATACTTGTAAAAGTAAGGATAAGCAAGAAGAGAAAGGAAAACAGAAACATGATGTTACCAACAAGCGAAATGGTGTAGATTCCGAATTCAACGCAGCAGAAAAGACCTTCGTATTTATACAATTTTTCTTTTTCCAAAACGGGAAAGACGACGAAAACGTTGATGCATTGAAACAAGACAGTGATATTTACGGTGTTTATCACTGTGTTATTACGTGTGTGATTGATAATAGCGAGTAGCCGATCTTGGCAGAAGCAAAGAGGTTTTCTCAATTTGATTGTTGGATTTAGTTTGAATCTCTTGACCACGCTGAATATCAGGGCAAACATCAGGGAAGAAAAAGGAATCGATGCTTTTACAAACATATCGTTTTCGGCAATCGAATACCAGGAAATGCAAGGTATTTTATCAGATACGTGAGGAATGAGCATAAAAAAAGTGAAGAAGAAATGTCCCCAGAGTAAACATTCGATGAAGGAAACGTAAAATTTCATGAAAATTTTGCGTAAGTAAGTGTCGCTGTTTATGGTGCACGAGCAGGGATTGAAAAAGTTCCATCCGTATGCAACCGATATTGACGTGAATGAAGACAGAAAGCATTGCAAACACAACTCTTCGTTTAGATTTACAAGTCTAGTATCGATTGTCGACATCGTGTTTTCTCGATTAGTAGCGATAATTTTGGTAAAATACAATTAATAAGTGACGAAAGTTACATTTGTCTTCCACAAAGACTTGTATAATGTCTACGTCTTCTATGAAGAAAGACGAGTGGACTAAGGCATTTCGAGAAGACAATTCAGCCTATTCACTTATGTAAGTACGAATTATCAAAGTACCAAGTACGGAATTATGCGTACGATACTAAATATTTTGTTTCGTAAGCAGAACTCGAGTCGAGACTTAATTTATCTCTTTATTTCAAATGGATGTTTGAATTAATAATAGCATTTGTAGAATTAAGACATGATATAATTTAGATTTAGAAGAGAATATAATTTTGGGAATGAGCAAATTCATTGTAATTCAGTTTGCTCCTTGGATTCGTTAAATAGTATTTCTGTTTCATATGCAAGTTTTAGTTTATTTTAGAAAACTTTTAAATTCCAATTGGAAAGAATAGCGTATGACTCGCAGCAACTAAGCATTATTTATTCTATAATATGAATTTGGAGTATTCTAGAATTCCTCTTCAGTCGTGTTTTAATATTTGTGTTTCGTGTTGTTAGCGATTTAATAACAATTTTAGATTCATAGAATTTCCGATAATACGCATATTTTGTATCTTACACACATATTTCTGGTACATTCTTAATTGCGTGTTCAAAGACTTTCTTGTATAAATATTCTATGAATTTCATAGAGGTGTAGTGTTCTAGCGTTATTGGGTTGCAAAAATGTCAGGATCATTAGGAAATTCAACTGTATTTTTACGCAGATTACTTGTTTAATATTTTCAATTATTATAATACACTAATTATACTCGTCGAGACTTTGTTTGGGTTTATTATGAAAGCGATCAGGGCGGGGATGGACTTATATGGAATCGTCTGTAAAAAATTCTCAGCATATTTCACGCTTTCCGATCCTGATCCCCAAAACGGAAGGATAAAGTGCGACCTTTCTTGGTTTGGCGGGATAAGGCACATGGGTTTTCTGCGAAAGGGAGCTGGTATGGGAAACTAGCATGTATTCAAATGTTAGGAACGTGAAGAACTCTTAGAAAACTACACGCGGCTAGTCCACTGGTCAGGCGCGAACCCGCGACCAACTAACTACCAGTATTTGGTATTTATATTTACTTGACAGTAGTGGTTAACTGACGTATTTATAGTTTCGGACATTTAATCTGTTTGCATAATCTGCAATGTATTTAAATATTCATGAACTAAATACATAAGGACATTAATTTAAGCTTCCAACAATTTCCAGACCCCGTTATCTTTTTTGAAATTTTTTCCTTTTAAACAATTACGATACATTTATTAGGTGTGCATTAACCCGAAAGTTGTAGGCCAATTCATACTTTACTTAGGCCTATAGTGTAAGCTGCCTTATGTTTGCACACTAACAGTGCCTTTGTACTAGGCTCGTTGTGGATTAGGTAGGCCCAAATAAGGGCGACCGGGTGATGAGGAACAGAGCCCAATGTATTCGAGACACATCGCCCTCGAATAATTTCTGGAACTGCTCACTCGAACTCGATCGTGGATCCTCGAATACGGCAGACTGACGCCTCGACAGCCTCAGTCACGGCCCTATATACCGATTTTTTCAATAATTTAATAAATAAAAAACACTTTTTAAAATATTATATTCATAGTCAACGTTTAATCGCCGTTAGTATTTTTCAGTAATACAATTTTTATTTTATCGGTTCTAGTATTCGTGAAATTAATAAAACTCACATGTTAATTCTAAGAAAATTAAAATGAAATGTTATGCGAATTGTGTCCCCCCCTTTAAGAAATTTTTTAGATTGTCAATACTTCATTTGCGTATCAAATAAACAAAGTACGTGAATTATTTTCTTGTACGATATTAAATGTTCTTTTAATTTTATTAAAATTAAATACTAAATTCTATTTTTAAATAAAAATATCAATTAATACTTTTATGAATTTTAAATTCCGTTTGCTTTTTTTTTAACTCTCTCTCTGCCCCGTAGGTGCTAAGAGGGTTACTCTTAGCAAACCAATTATCTGTTCGGCTAGGCCCACAATAAAGCGACCGAGTGAGGGACGGGGGCCAATATATCCGTTCGGCCTAGCCTTAAAAAATTCCTGGGGATTTTTTTCGATCGATCCCGAATTCCCCAGAGCTGTAACCTGCCACCTTGACTTCTCGGCCATTTGGTCGTCAATTCCGTTTGCTTTGTAACTCGTTTCTCCATGCGGAGACTAAGAGGGCTTCTTTTCAGTAAGCCCATTATTGTTTCGGCCGGGTCCACAAGGAGGCGTACACTAACGGCCAAATGGATAACACTACTGAACAAACTACTGAACTGGAGGTGGGTTCTCGCCTGGCCAATGGATTAGCCACGTGGTGTTTCCCGATTTTCTTTACGTTAGTAAATCCTAAATGTGTGCCATTTCCTATAAATATCTTTGCACTCTTCTTCCTTTGTCGTAATGAAATAAACCAAACAACTAAGGGGCGGCAGGATGATGAGGAATGAGCCCGACATTTTTGGGCCGAACAACTCAACCTCAGAAACTCTTTTGGAATCTTTTGACTCCAAAAGAGTTTATGAGGTTGTTTGCCTCTAAATATTTTGTTTTATCTAGTTAATGAACACTACAAATTAATGAAAACTTTTCTGGAATTTCACACGAAAATATGAGATAATTCGTGAACAACAAAAGAAACGTTGATTATTATCTTTACATAATATTCGTGATTTTTTTATGAATAATGAGAATGTCTGATCGCCGAGTGGGTTATGGAGTAGCTTGCTGTTTTGGGAACTTGCGATCGAACCCAAGCGGTCCCAAATCCTCAGGAATGTTTCGGACGTGTGGTGTATCACGGATACGTGGGATCACGTCTCTCATCGTCACACTACACAGCTTTTTATATTGTTTGCAAATCCGGCTTTAGGCACCATCACACGAAGAAGCGTCCAAAGTCAGAAATAACATTTCGGGAAATTTTAATTTAATTTAATGTTAATCTTTCGACATTTTATAATTTACACGAAATCTAATCTTTATTTCAACTGAATTATACTTTTGATACGAAACTCACGAAAGATTTTCATGCGATATTGTAAATACTTGTGAAAAAATCTAACTCATTTTTAATTAGAAATAATTCAAAATTATATATATTTTAATTACGTTTAGCTCGTTAACATTGAAATTGGCAGTAATAACCGTTATAAAAGCTGACAACCATTCAGATTGTTAGTATCCGTTCGCTGTCCATCTGCTAGTCAGTTCGTTCCGGTGTTGCAAAACGTGGTTCCGATGGCATTCTTCGTGCGTGCACATTTCTATCTTTTTGTGTTATGTTTAGCAATACATTACGCTGAAAGTTTACGCGGTATACGTAAATATATGTACTATCCATCAGAAATGTATTATTACGACAATTACGATGATTACGATGAAGACATTTACGTCAGTCAGAAGTATTCATCATTCAAGAAAAAACCAAATCAGACAAGTAAGTTTATTAATGAATTTTTAGAATTTTTTTCTACTCTCAGATACCCATTTTAGAAATTTTAAAATATATTAAACAGCATGGTACAAGGTTTATAAACACGGATTAGCAAAGATTAACATCACAGATGGCACGAATTTCACCAAAGGTAATTATTTATTAGTGTGATTAAATTAATTAACTTTTTATTAATTAATAAGGAATTACTGTACATTATTTATTAGCTAAGTTAGATTTGCATTTGCAAACGGAAAGAACTGTTGTTATATACTGTACTATATAATTTACGGAAAATATAAAATACTATTATAAGCCCGAAACCTGTCTAACACGGAAACGAAAAGCTGTACTGAAACATAACCTGTTTAAACAGAAATAATTCGCGCAAGGGCAACTAAATTTAAATCACTTATCATAGATACTTATAAATACTATAATAATACTGTACTCGATATATATAGATACTTGGAACATGAAGAAAAATAGAAACCTTCCACACATTATTTAATAGAATATTTTTCTGTAGTTACAGTAGAGCGTCGTTTATCCGAAGGTCGGTTATCCGAAGTTAATGTATTTTTTCGTACATAATCGGTTATCCGAAAAAGTAAGTTATCCGAACCCCAGTCCCCAATTAATTCGGATAAACGACGCTGTACTGTATATGTTAATTTTCAGTTTGTTTCATAAATACTGTTATTAATTTTAATGAATAAATTTTAGAAAAACGTATTAAAATTGTTTGTTAAATTATATTTTCAATTATTTTAAAACTGAGAAGATGTATAAAATTAAAATATTGATTAAACAAATTACAATTAGAACAAAGAAACATTCTGCTTTTCATTCCACATTTACTTTTTTATCTTTGCATTCGTTTAAAATTTCTGGTAGATTGCTCTTGAGCTGAGATTGAGTTGTATTATCTTATCACCCCAATTTCATTTAGAGTCTGTTTTTCTTTCCTTTAAAGAATGTTTTTCTATTACAGTGTACAGTTTTTGTACTATTTTTTACTTATGTGTTGTGTTGCTTTACTACATCAATCCAACCATTCATAAGTTGCAATGGTTGCGTTAAGGGAATTAGGCAATACAACTCGTGGTCGCTCATTCAGAGGGAAGTGTCTCTTGGGAAGACTTTTTTTTATAGAGACTCATCCTTGTCCTCAAAATTAAGTTGTTTGCTATTTTATAATAATTAAAATTATAAAAGTTTTTGAAAACAAATATCATAATGTAATAGATACGCCGGAAAAGTCAAGCAACTCGTTGTTAGATTTTATTTTTTTTTTTTTTTTTTTAGCATTCAGACTGAAAATTCCGAAGCAATAAGCCATTATAGAAACTGAATAGCGAATATTTTTGTTTTGGCTGTTCATCTGTAAGTTGACTCTGATAAAATTGTGTGTGTTTGATTTGTTTAACAATTTATTGCACTTCGCTTCCTCCTGAAGTACTCACAGTTTTGCAATTTATTTCTAAGATTTGCTTCTTGAATTACTTGTATAATCAATCTATGACGAATGCGTTCGGTGTAAAGGACCCGCAGCATGGGGTGGTTGATTAATACATTTCTAGACCTTTGTCTTTGAATAAATTAATTGTATATAAATTTAATTAAATATTGTACTGTATAGTTTTTACAGGTTTCACCGAGTTGACATTTTCAGATGTTAATAGCCTATTACTTTATTATAATATAATGTTTCTCGGGAAGACATATTTAGATCTAATTGCTAATTATATTTTTAGCGACTACCTTATTTTTATTTCGAGGAATTATCTCATTATTATCTACAGAATTGAATACACAGAAGTTATACGAACGTGTCAATTAACACTAAGCTGTACATATTGCTTAATATTAAGTGACATTGATCACATATTTCTTGTTAATTACTCGATAAATGATAAGAATTGTCATCATCATCCTTATTAGAACAACTTCATCGGGTTCTGTTAATACTTTTACGCTGACTACTGGATGGACAAAGCTATTAAGAGTTCAGTCTACCCTGGGGGATTCGAAGTCGATTTCGCGCGAGCACACCACGAATATTTTGGAGGGTTTGTCTGTTTGAAATACGTCGGACCCGCTCTTTCGCTACAGGATGGGACTGGGAAAACCTCACGATGAGCATGAAAAACACCTCCACGTGGTACTAAAAAGGCCTTTTTAGTACCACGTGGAAGAAAAGAGCATTTAAAGAAATAATGAAGTAAAATAAAAATTGTAAACACACAAATGTATAGGCTTTACAAACTATCCTTTACTCAAATTAGCGTTTCTTTAAACATAAATTAACTTAATTATAACAGAATCATCATTGAAATAAATACAAATTTAAGATGGGAAAGAGCAGAATGTTCTATACATAAACATTATGAATTTGATATCCATAAATTATGAATTCTAATATTAGAAACTTATTAAAAACTTTATTATGATTTTTATTCAACAAAACGAAACTTGCATATACTGTAAAAAAATATTGATATAATAAAATTAAAGTAAATTTCACGATTTTCTTCAACATAATATTGGGTGTAATAAAGAATTAATAAAGGATTTAAAGTATTTTATTAAAAATAATAAGAAAAAAAAACAGTTCACTAACGTAATAATTCGCATGCAAAGTTATATTATATGAATTTCAATCTATAAATATATTGTAAATTATGAAATTTTCTGTATTCATTGAAGAGTTTTCATAAGTTTGCTCGCTGAGGAATTTATTCGACATGACACCACTCGGATTCTTGATGCACATGAGTTGTGTTTTAACAGTGTTGTACTTAACAGTAGGACGTACTTATGGCGAACACTCATATACTGGAAAATTAGAGAAGTTGGAAAATAATTACGATGGGGCAACTACGACCAATTTTCCACCCGATTATTCACATGAAGCGAAACTTGATAAAATTCGAAAGGAAGCTGAGAAAAGTGAGTACATATTTCCTGCTATACAAGATAGACTTTTCTTTAAATTTATATATTAATATATTATCCTAATATTTAATGGTAGTGGTTGTAAATTAAAATATACTTAGGAAAGTGCAGTTAATGGCACTAGATTCTAGTCAATAATATATTTTGTTTAATGTCAGGATTAATATATCAAAATCTAAATACCGTTGATCCTCGCTGTGCCCACTGAATCTCCGATTGTTTCCTTTACTCTGTTGACACTTCTCTTTAAAGCTAACGATTAACAACTTGAAACAAATCACTCGAGGATCAGTGTATCATATTTAAATACTGTTGGTCCTCTGTTTTTTTCAGTGGATCCTCGAGTTGTTTTCTTCTGGCTGTTGATTTTTCTCTTTAATGCAAGAACATTAAAGCTAAGATCTAACATTTTGTACATTTTTCTTAAGCAATTAGACGTATTAATGCGTCTTCTGTATTAGAATTTCCTGTGTTAGTTGCTTAAAAAGACACTAATTTTCCCTAAAATAATCGTTGCAAAATGAAGGATGCATCTTTGTCTACGCCGAATAATTTTTATAACATTAATTATATTTATTTAATTTATCCAAAAATATATAATTGTTGTTATTTTATGATCTATTTTCAAAGAATGGCGAAATATAAGAGACTATTTCTTCAAAAATGATTCCATGAATACAAAAGGTAATTATTAAATACCTGTACTTTTTATTTTAATTCATTCATTTATATTTAAGAATATTATAAATAAGTAGATGATAAAAAAGCAACATTAAATAATTTGTTTTAAGTTATAAAAAATTAAATAATTTATTGTCGTTTTAATGTTTTTAAATTAAAATAGTTGAAGAGTCGATGCCTTCTCCTTACACAATGAGTTTGACGTACGAGGACACAAACGAAGACAGGCAAAAGAAGGACATCTTAGTGGAAATTTTACTTTCCGTTTATGACAGTATGAATTTAATGTCGCGACTGCTTGAAGGACTTTTTAATTAATGGACTGTAAACAATTATAGTTTGTATGTCACAATTATCGTTTTCGGAATAATAAAATTATCGTATTCTAAGAAAATACATATTTTTCTTGTTTAAATTTATGTATTATATTGCTCGTTTGAACACACCAACGCGACGCCTGGGCGATCTGCCGAGATGGTTGATTCTCGACAGAACTTTTTATCATAAACTGCCCCAATAGTTGAATGTGGCCAGAAGAGAACTGGCGTCCAATTACTGGTATTCGGCTGTGTTTTTATTCACTCAACCACTGGTAGGTTGATTTATTATCTATCGTACCATACACATATACACAAACACACCGTATCATATACATTTTCGTGTCTCCGGTACTCACCCAAACGTAAACATTTTCTTACTAAATAGAATCCAAATCTTTAATTTGAAGAAAAATAGGCCGAGTAGATAAAATAACTGATCGCGGGTTTTTACCTATGTACGATTCAAACAAGTGGCTAAAATGCCTCTGTTTATTTCATTTTATTTGTTAGGTTTAGTATCTAACAAATAAAATAAACAGAAACATTTTATGTTAATATATTAATAATTTTTGAATATTTTTAACAAAGAATACTTTTAATAATGAATTAGTGGAGCAAAGGAATACTTCGAACCTCGAAAAAAACAAATGATAAACCTACATAAACGAAAAAATCAGCAACGAGCAGCGTAACATTTTCGACGAAACACACTTATATTTACCCAAAAGTAAAATTGTCTTTGGCAATGTCTTTATGGGATGCTTATTTAAAGAAATAACTTTTATATTATTAATTAATTTTAAATGTCAAAACGCTTAATTTTCAAGATAAAGATGAATTTTAGTTTAAAAAATTGTAAATGCTAATAATGAGTAAAATCTTCATTACATCTGATCCCACACACGATATGACACATGACCCCTCAATCTCTCCATCCCGTTGACCTCCACTAAAAATATAGCGTTTACTTACAAGATTGACTCTTACAGACATGTCCACGAATGACCGTTATTCACAAGCTACCATTACAAATTTTGTTTTTTAAACATTTCCCTATTCTGAGATATCAAACAAAATAGACGACAATCAGGCAGACACGCAAACTCACCCACTGACACACATCCAGGGAATTTTTTCCACGTTTATTTAGTGTATGTGCGCTCTTACATATTCACTGCACTTAAGCCCTGCTCACAAAACAGCCCAGAATACGATCAATTCCAAGAAACTGCCTTTTGCTTTCTTCGACTTAATGATGTGGCTATTGAAACTTCGTCAGATATGTATGACACGGTTAAAGATATACAAGTATGCTTAGCGTTTTAACACCTCCAAACAGTAGTTCTATAAAGTTCTGATAATACTGAGCCTCTATCATTCTTTTTATAGCGATTTTAAGGCACTTTGATGACAATAACTATCCTACAATGAATCCACAACTCTAGCCATTTACATGTTTGTTTGAGACATAGTTGCATGTCCCATTTTGTAGTAATCGAACAATTCTATCAATGTTCGAAGCTTATTCTTTACAAAAGAATGTATTGTAATTAAAAAACAATGTACAGTACGATTTCATTTAACGCTTAGGATTCTCTAACATAAAATATAACACCATTATTTTCCTATTTGAAAACTTTTTTAAGACAAATTTACGTCACAATATTTAAATCTTTAATAATATAATAAATATAATTACAACTTTGAACAAAGATAAAACTTTGTTTTAGTCATTTCCTTCCGTTGTTTATTCATTAATATTTAAATCTTGTTTATATTCAAAGACCTTTTTGGCAATCCTAATGGCCACTAAAATTAATTTATTTCTTTTCACCATAAATAAATAACTTTTCCATGTAAAATGGTGTTTCTCGTGTAATCTTTAGTACATGTTTTTAACATTACTACTTTAAAATGAGGAAATTGTTGAATGTTCTTCATTTTTCTGGTCTATGTGTTTTTCTTTTTATTCCTCTTCATTTTCTACTGTATCACTGCAAAAATTTAACAAAATTTTATCTTATATTTGTATAAATTATTTCAAATACAATTCTATAAGTTAATTAAATGACGATAATAATATAAAATGTAAACTATTTTCTGAAAACTTCATTAATGATTTCTTACTTGACAACGGTATCGTTTAATCGAATACTTTTGGTCTCGGGTAAAGGCACAATGCACAAACCAGATGTAAGAGTCAATATTCCTATTATAATAAACGGAATGCTCCAGTATATCTTTTCACTCTGTGACAAATACAATAATATTATATTGTAAAGTAGTATAAATAAGTTAATCAATGTTAAAGACGAGTGTGAAGTCCTACAAGATCCTTCATAAAAGGTGCAGCGATCGCTCCGATTCTGGCAATCGTAGAACACGATCCAATACCCACGTTACGAACTACAGTCGGATACAATTCTGAAGTAAATCCATATATTGTGTTTATTGCAAGAACCATGCAGCATCTGCTTAACACTGTGAAGACAATCCTCAGCCATATAAGATCTGTTTAAAAAATACCGTAATATTCGTAATATATACTTTTTGAATTATAATTTCATGTTTCTAATAGTAAAACTGAACTAATGATTAGTATTATTGATTTCATGTTTACCGTCTGGAACAGCTGTTATTAGTAACGAGGTGATGCCTGTTGAAAAATATCCAAACATCAAAATACGTTTTCTTCCAAAGCGAGGTAAAATAATGTTCAACACACCAGAAACACAACATTGTAATGAGGCAAATAAGGCGAATAAAAGAAAGATGTTTCCTCCTGTGATATCTGCATTCAATGCTAATGCATAGCCGTCAAACATTATTACTAACCTGAAAGTAGTGGAAGAGATTCAGTAGTGTGTTTAAATAATTAGGATAAGTTAAAAGAAGGGAGACGGTTGGAATGTGTGTCAATTATTTTTGTAAAGTTAAACCGTTCTATTAATACAAGTTTTAATTTTCAATTTAATTTTTACAGTTACATTATTATTAACAGATGTATTTATTACTTTAATAAATTTTTAAAATAGACAGAATTATCTCTTATTAATGAAAACTCCATTAAAAAATACTTACCATAAGATGTACATGAGGAAAGTAATCTTGCGTAACTCTTTATTTTTGATCAAGTGCAAAAAGTTCATTTTCTTTTTCTGATCATTCTTTAATAGTAAGATCACATGCAATAAAAAAAACGTATTTAGTAAAGAAGATTTTCATATATATTAATTAATTTTATCTTTGTTATACACTAGCAGACAGTCCGGTGAGTAGCGGATCCGTGAGCCGAAAATATTGCACATGTTAATAAAAGGTCCTTACACGTTCCTGAAAAATACTCGGCCAAAACTGATAACCCGTAATTCGATACGTACGCAAACTTAGTCATGTGCATATTTCTGTCACTTCTAACGGGTCCACCAGAGGCCAAGCGGTTCTGTTCCCTGAACACGTAATTCAGTCGTGAGTTTGCGACTCGCCCGGATGGGCTGAAGTTTTCCGTGTTTTTTCCACCTCTGTAACGCCTGAATAGGAGCCAGTTACCCTTAAAAAGACCTTCCGAAAGGCATTTTTCCAAGCAGATGCTTGGAAAAATGCCTTTTGGCCAAGCAGATGCTTACCCAAGTGTTGCGTTGCCATAACTTAACAAAACGAACTATCACTTCTACCGGTACTGCGATTTGCTTCTGGCTACGCGCATTCTTTCGTGAAGTTGCGATTTCACTTTTTAGGAGTGTATTTATAAGGACCACCTATTAACATGACGATCTTCATATTGAATAACACTGAGTTTTTAATTAATTAATAACTAAGCATAAGTGTCATTTTAGTCATTTTAAATCGCAACATTCAAGTCCTGCCTAAAAGTTCTCAATTGAGCCCTTTAAAGTCCTTTAAAGCCCTTAGATACAGTTTCCATTTAATTTGTACAGCAGACGGAAACGTAATTAAACGGAATTTCTTTGGAAACTGGAGGCTGACGCCATAACCTCCGGTGCCATTCGTTATAACCCATTTTCTGTTCCATTTCCAATCACAAACTGATTTTATTTTTAAAATTCAACAGTCATTTCGTTATTTACAAATATTTTGAAAAACTTATTATTATATTATTTCAAATCATCGTCTTTCAGGAGAAAGATCAAGTTATGTATTATTAAAATCAATTTACCGTTCTAATCTTCCAATAAAGTTCTTCAATAATTTCGGTTAAGTGCTCGGGGTGTCTTTTATTCTTTTCCATTATGTTTCGTATAACGTTCTCTGCTTTACGTAGTCGACCGTGAGTTAGCAGCCATCTCGGAGACTCCGGTATATAACTAATCCAAAATATATTTTTGTAACATAATATAATTAAAACATTAAATGAACATTACCTGATGAACAGGAGTATTATAATAGATGGCAGAGTGCAGCATAATTGAATATAAGTCCAATTTTTCAGGAACCAAGATACTCCGGAAAGTAGAAACATCCCCACGGAAAAAAAGAGACACTGACTCACTATTACCTTTTCTCTGTAGCTTGGTCCGACCACTTCCATAACTATGCACAAAGATAATTTAATATTGTTAACGTTATGTTTACAAAAAACTTTGAATCTAAAATTTCAGCTTAAATATAAATATTCACACGGAAATTTGTCTATGATTTATCCACAGTAATTGTGTTTTCACTTCTTGCCAATCTGCATTAAATACACATATTCAGTTAAATGCTATGAACCTGATACAATGTATTGTAACCTATATGTGAACATTGCCAAAGAGCGTTGTTATTTTATTCAGTGTATGAATTCAATTTATGACTTACCGTATACATAAAACGTAAGATTACAGGCTGTGATTCCTGCAGATAAGAAGAAACGAGATACAGTAAACATCCAATAATATGGAGAAAATGAACAAAGAATCCCAAAGGTTATATGAAGCACGAGACTCCATGTTATCACTGGTCTTCTGCCATATCTATGAAAATATTGATATAATTAATACGTATTAAAACTAAAAGATTTTAATGAAATTAAAGACAACTTTACAGACCTATCGGATATCTGTCCAGATACAATAGCGGACACGAGGAATCCCACGAAGAAAGAAGAACCAGAAAGAGAACTTAACCAAGAACTTTCACAAACTAAATTCCACTGAAAATTGCGAACAGGATTAATCTTCGAATATACAGGGGGTGCAAAAGTAGGTACACCGTTGTTATTAAGTAAAAAACATGCAGGGAGAAAACAGGAAGAAAAATGTACAAATTTAATGTTATGTACAAATTAAATCACAAATAAGGAATTCAAACTAATCAAAGATAAAAACAATAATAATAAACATCAAACATTTGTATGTTTCAGATTCCCAACTTTTGCACATTCTGTATATTTAAGTAAAGCCTTTTAATTGTTACCTTTTCAATGACACTGTTTTTATATTGTGAATGATCGTATTCCCACGAGCGACAAGGAATCTTTGAAAAGTTCTTTCCATATTTTTCATCGTCAGTATCGTATACTTCACATCGACTATGTGTTGTTCTCCCGTTTCTGATCTCCAGAGGTGCGCTGATATTTTTCCACTCTTCCACGGACACGTTCATGTATTTCGGTGTTCTCGCGCACCAATAATCCACTTTGTATGCCAAGAAGGGCCAATTTAAAAAGTTCATTGCCGATACAATGATAGACCATGCGAATATACCGAATAAAATCTTCTGCCATCTTCCAAATGTACCGATAAGATCTGTAAAGTCTTGAAATTCTTTCGCCGTTTCCTATCAAAACAATCCAGCAACAAGTTGCATAACTTTTCCAGCTATTAAGAGATTTTATTTAGAAAATTACTTTTACAATCTTAATTACAATACAAATGAGGGTAGGGATAGTATTTATAAAAAAGTATAAATGTTAGTAATGGATAAAATCGACATTGAGTTTGACCCTACTGAAGATACACACGACCACTTTTTTCTCCCCACCCCTGGACCGAATTTTAAAAGCTTCCATGCCCTCGTATACCATGCCAAATTTCGTTACTTAAAATCTTTACATATTCTTGAGATATTGAGCGAAATAGAGCGAACACACACACATACATACACACACTCAAACATATATACTACATACGTGCGTGTAAAATGCTAGAATAATCTCCGATGACCTCAGGACTTTCATGCAGATATCATACTCATACCCGTGGAGAAACTGAGACAGCGAGCACTATTAGGTAGTAGTGTGGTTATTCCGTATGTTTGTTCAGCTAAAATATATAATGTCCTCAACGAAGTCATATCAAATAATAAATATAATTCTTACCGCAACTTCAGATAATCCGTTTCTGCTTTCTGTCGTTGCAGCCATGGTGTTCCTGATTAAAGTTGTATGATTTAAAGATAAAACAAGATCCTATATAAAAAATAATAATAATATAATTCTATTGTTTTGTCGCTACCACCTGTTATTATCTATAATATACAACAGTTTACAAAAGAAAATAAAAGAAGTGTGTGAATGTGTATGAGTATGGGTGAATAAGTCTAAAATAGTGGATATATGTATATTTTACGCCTTTTCATTATATTGTAAGTATATTTAGTTATTTTTATTTACCTATTAACTAGAATACTACGCTGGTAAGGTTACTTTCATTTGTCAGCTCACTTGCTTTCTACGGGTTGGCAATTGTGGAATTGACACAAGTACATAATTATTTAAACAAAGAAAATACTGTAATTTGTATATAAACTTTCGAATAGGCTTTAGTTACACTTCAGTGTAAAAAGTGTTGAGAAATTGTCTGCTAAGGATGAATGAGTCATACAATCTAAATTGAGGTGGCGACTGAGGGTCCAAAAGGTCATTTGGGAGAGATTACGCGTGGGTCTCAACGTTAAAAGTAGTAATTGATACGAAAGTTGTTTAATGTGCCATCACCTTCAGCCATTATTAAACTTATCGTATCACTCGGGTCATCGTTTTGCAACCAGTTGAGCTACTTTAACGAAGCCAATGACAGTATACAGAAAGCCAATGACAGTAGAAACATTATCAGAAATTATCTTGTTCACAGTATCATAATGCTATAGGACGAATGTATGTATCAGAAGGAAAGTGAAAGATGCCTGTTACATTACGTTTAAAACAATCAGGAAAACTCCTTATAATTCGTTTGATCAGGATGTCGATACTGATAAAAATTAATTTTTCTGGTGAATTAAAACATTTGCAGCCTATAAGTATATCATCCAATAATTTATTGTTATAAATAATCGGAATTTAAAAATGTAACAACAGGAATTACTTTGAAAAATAGAATAGAACATGTACAAAATTATACAGTCTCTCGATTTATCATTATAACAAATACATATATAACACGTAGATTGAATTTATTGTGTTCATTGATGTGTATAAGTACATATTTTCTCTCAGATTTTTAAAATTTTATACAAGTCGACCCCTCTATAACACTGTTGATTATTCCGTTTTATATGAATTCCATGTTGTCCGAGTCACTTAGATTTTACAAATACGTGTGCCGGGCTGTGAACGGTTCACGTATTTGTAAAATCTAAGTGACTCGTACAACATGGAATTCATATAAAACGGAATAATCAATAGTGTTATAGGAAGGTCGACTTGTACAAGTATACAATATGTTAATATTAAAATAGTTGTATCATGCTGAATAACGAAAACTAGCATAAAAATATATATTAAAATTTGCGTGTAGAAGTTAATTGCAAAAGTATTTTACAATAATCATAAAAAATGTTGCTACGTATAATAATGTTAATGTTTAGAAAAATTTAGCGTAGATGGAAATTAAGTTCCTTCTATCGCTGTATTGACTCGGTGTATTGTTTATAATTTATTTTACATAATACAGAAATTATTTCATTGTGACATCATCACAATGCCGGAGGCTGCAATTTTTAACCATATTTTATATTTATTTAATTTAAAATATATGCCCTGAACCTCGAAATAGTAAATTTCGATTTTCAAATGAATTAACATACGTAACGTTAATATTGGATAATACAAAAAATATTTTTAAAGCAATTTACTGCATAACCCCTTTTGCATTTTCTATCCTAAATAATTTCGAATGTGTTTATTACCATTTTAATTATTAATTATTTTAAAACTTCGCTTTTAAATATTTTAAAGTATTTTTAAAAATTCTGATAGAATAAAATAAATATTAAATTCTACTTGAAATATAATAATTGCTGCATTACTTGCGAGATTTCTATAATATTCACTTGTTTCTATATTAAGATTTCGCTTTAAAATAAGATAGAAAATGAATAAATGCTTATAATATTTTAAAGAGAATTTTCTTTATACTCTAAAATAGGGTGGAAGAAACAATTTCTTCATAACTTAAGAAAGAAGAAAGTATCGCTATTATTAAAATAAAACTGACCTTATTACGACTGAAATCGTTGAAATTCTTCTTTCGATATTATAAATATATAAACATAACTCAATTTAATAGAAGTATTTATATTTTATTAATACCACAATATCATACTTTTTATTCGCAGCTTCTCTTCTATATATATGTAGAAATTAGGTGGTGAAACGTCATTTTTCTTTCAAAAGTTGTAATACAATTGTCCTTGACAAATACTTTAAAGGATAAAATATTCTATGACGTATAATTAGTGATGCATTACCAATGACGTACTGCACATCTACTTATTGATGGATTACAGCAAAGCCAAACTTTGTAACCACGTATCAAAGACACGTATCGCCTATCAGAAATACACTATCTTGCATCCCCTATTGTTATGCCATATATGATTAAAATACTATAGTTATCACTGCTCTAAAGAGAATATGACTATTGTGTTAGGTTAAGAAAGCATTACTTATTGATATGTACGCAATGTAAAATCTTTGAAAAAATAAGAAATTAGTTTATAATTAAACTTTTTTCGCTTGTTTTAAATATATTTTAGTATACTAGATAGATACATCGTGCACATTATTCGTGGACATTATTTAATATGCTGACATGTTTAACGATATGTAGTATATGTTAGCAATATCAGCACATCTCATCCCAATATTAAGGATAAGGTATAAATTGACATTATATGAAACACCGTATTAATATACATTACTGTTCTTGCACCGCATGTTTTATGTTGTCAACGAACAATATCGACAGAAATTGGACTGAACTTTGGCGTTGATTGTTGCTTATTGTTATTAGCCAACATCGATTCAATGTTGGTTTCAATTGATTACATCATATAACAAAAATAGATTATCATTATTGGCCACATTGTCTATCTTTATTATTACGTACTGTACTTAGCAAACACCTGCCTAACATAAAGCTCGTTGCAAAGTAGTCCATATGGTGAGTTTAGACTTGATGTTGGACAAGTTGTTATAGACACGTGACTGTTTGTTCGATGATCTGGCAATGTCATCCCTTATGAAATCACTTGTGACGTTGTTGTAAAGAACTAAAAAGCAATCCGTCAAGCCCTCTACAAAATATTGTTTGGTAATGTCTTTACAAAGTGATGAGAATAGCGGTCACAATTTCGTTTACTTCTGACGAAAGGTATGACGTAGAGCGAAGTCTAGTCGATAGTCGACCAATAATCGATAGTGAACTCTACGATGACCGAACGAAGCTCATTCAATGTCTCCTTCGATCAGATTGCTATGAAATAGCCCACTTTGCTCCTAGCTTCAGAACAAACACTGTATTAGGAAACCGAGTTTTGATCGCTGGCATCGCACAGTACATGCCAGGGAACAACGGTGATTCCGTAAGTTTTGTTCCAAGTTACGTGCTGAATGCGTCAAGATGTACGAACCGAGCTATGCTGCAGATTCACACATCTCGATCTTGATTGTGATTGCTCTAAGTTCTAAAGATGGTGACATGATAGTGTTACATTTTCTCGAATGCAAGTCCAACGTCCGTATCCCTAATTAAGTAATAACAATCATAGAAATATGACAACCGTGATATACTGATACTGATTTTCTTATCTGTGATATACTGATGAACTGTGATATACTGTTACTGATTTTCTTATATAATTTTTCCAAAATACAGTATTAACAGTTGATGATATGCTCACAATATGAACACACTTTTTAACGGAATATAAGCCGAACAGGTTTAAATTCTACTGAAAAGTCACAAAAAATGGTCTAAATGAAAGAATAAACGATCCGTAAATTTACTGAATGTGGCAACATATTCAAAATGAAAACACTGCACAGAATTTTCAAACTACTTATAATTTTCTTCGATTCCTTAAATTCGTCGTGTTTACTCTCACTAAATATTGCAATTTAAGGTAGATTTTGTATCATTAAATTCAGCTTATCAGTGCCATTGGCCGAAAGACAAGCTTTGGTCTGTTCGAAACCATTTATCGTTTTCAGAGTACCGAAAAAAGTAAGAGTTGCTTTTATTATCTGAAATGTAGAATTCGATTAGATTTAACAACTTTTGATTTATATAAAACTTACGTATGAAAATAACAAAAAAGTGTTCTACCCTGTATGCAAATTGCTTAGTAATTATGAAATCCAGCATTTCTACTCCCAGTTGTCTGGATCCCAATATCTTTAGAAAGCACAAAAGCTGTAAATATAATAATATTGTTGTCGTGTATCAGGTGTGATCAACACTTAATACTACTGTCAAATAAAACAAAATGTTCTGTCGAATTGTTATTAATAACTTACCCGCATTTTGTCGATGAATGGCAAATTCAGAGAATCAAAGAACCTAGTCTCTTCCAGACATTTCCTAGACTAATAATAGTAAAATAGAATCTTATGACTGACTTCCTTATATCGCATCAAACGTCAAAAAAATATAGTAAAATATTAATCAGTATTTTTAATGATACTTAAACCTTAAATTAGTGGGATGAAATTCCATTCCTTATTCAAATGTCAGTATGATAATACATAAGAGATAGACGTAAATATGCTTCCAATGTCATTTATTGTTTCCATTTCGAGCGCAATCTTAGAGTATTCTGTTTGTATGTTCTTTGCGATACGAATATATTGCAGCTGTCGCGAATGAATGAAATGTATTTCCTCAAATAATGCCTCCAATTTATAATATATTATCATAAAGAATGTTGTTCCAATCGGAATAAAAGCTAAAGTAGCTGAAAGACATGTTATGCTTATCGAAACCAAACCTGTACATATACCTGCAAGTAACGCCCCACTATCTTCTTTCATAACCGGATAACGTTTTGTAATTAGAAATATTGGTACTAATGTATTTAATAATACGCTAAAGCTAGCATAAACCTTCGCGGAATAGCTTTGAAATTGAGATATTTTGTCTGCTGTTTCTTGACTTATATTTTCATCGTGCCAATGAACTTGGGTGTTGGTCATTCTCAAATATGTTATATAAAGTGTGAGTAATAAAGTGAAGCTTTGCGTAGTAACTAGGATAATTTTAGATATTGTCGGATAATTTGTAGATTTGTATATGTGGCCCGAACAATAAGGAAGCGTTTGTGCTTTAGGCAATATAACGATAGCCAAGAAACTTGTGTAATAAGTACAAATGTAGATACTTAATAACAATAATTTCCACGAACGAGTTTTTCTATTATCTCGATTGTTGTTTATGGCTTCGTGGTCGCATGTAATTATTAATAGTCGATCGAATTTGTCAATAAGTTTTAGAAGATATTTCAAAGAGTCTTTGATACAAACGCGATTTCTTGTACTTTGCATATTTATAAACTGCATAATGATCTATTATTGTTATTTAACACAAGTAATTTGTCTAAATACGCAGATATGTTTAAAATCTCAGAGTATTCTATACTATATTATAATGTATTATTCTATGGTTTATATACAGCACACTATAAACGCTTTAATTCTGGTGCTGAAATTAAAGTAGATTAGATTTAAATGTCATTAATTACACGTAGTAAATTATTAAGTATAAGATATTGTACATATACCTGCTGTTTTGGGTAGAGTGTACTGAAACGATTTCTTCTACAAATTATTCGCCAGCTTTGAAATATTCCGTCAACACTCGTGCAAGTTATATTATTGTTCTTACTGAATTTGGTTTGGTAAAATATTCGGAATTTTTATTCTTACAGTTAACTTCTTATGTAACGTAGAGAAATCTCATTAAAATTTAAGAAATTTGCATCCATTAGAGCTAATGGATACTTGCACTAAGCGATAGACTTTATTACTGTCGTTTAATTAGTGTAAAACACGGAAGTAGGAAAGTTTTATTTTCATATAAATGCACTTCATAATCAGTATATATTATAAAGGTAAGTGTACAATGTGCCTGCCGTTAAAACTCAAAAACCAGTCCCGGTACGATCAAGAGAGTTATATGGTGTGGTACCCCTCTATCCCCCATCCATCAAGAAAGTTCCCGTTTTTACCTGGAAGTTTCGTCTTCTAGAAATTTCTAGAATAGTCCAGAACATTCGAGAACATTTGAGAGCATTGTGGACCATTCGAAGCTTTTTTTTATGGGTGCAATGGGTAATACTGCGCATTGGTGGGGGTATATGAAGCAAGATCCGTCGTGGGTTCGAACGTCGGTTTCTTATCATTGACGAAGGAAAGAACCGAAAAAGAAGTGAAAATTCCAAAGTAGTGCAGTGAGTGAATAAAAATAAACAGTGAAGTGTGAGCAGTCAAAGTGATACAGTGCCTGAATATAAATCGAAAATGAAGTGTGAAATCTGTGTAAAGTGTACTTAGTGTATTTCTTAATAAAAAGTTGATTTGATTTATATTTTATACAAAATTAAAAGAGGAGGAGCTCTTGCCAGTTTTGAAGCAAAACGGCGAAAACAAAAAGAACAGCGATAAAACGAAACAGTGGAAGAGCGCGAGGCACGTTTACGTTCCCAACGAACGAGAATGAGCACCGTGAGAAGCAGAGAAACCGAAGAACAACGAAATGAACGAATTGAGGAATCAAGAATTGCGACACAATATTATAATAAAATCTTATAATTATTTTGGCAAATAAAAATAATATTGTCGATGATATCAACTTTAATATTCAAAAGAAAATTCCCGGTGAGAAGAGAATATACAAATTGATCGACACGATGGTAAACGTTGAAGAAAGTGTCAACTTCCCTACAGAATTTCTAAACTGTTTGCAAGTACCAGGAATGCCATTACACTGCCTTCGACTGAAAATTGGGTCTCCGATCATACTACTCAGAAATCTGAACTCACCAAAAGTATGTAATGGAACAAGGATGATCGTCAAACAGCTATCGAATAACATCATCGAAGCCAAACTTATGACTGAAAGGGACAAAGGACAAACAGTATTTATACCCAGAATACCACTGATCTCTACTGAACTGCCATTCCAATTTAAAAGACTGCAATTTCCAATCAAATTAGCCTATAGTTTTACAATTAACAAAGCGCAAGGACATACTTTAAAACATTGCGGCATTGACCACAAAGACTCCTGCCGACCCCCCCGGTCACACTAGTGTGAGAAGTCGAAGATTTTTAGCCCTGGTCACACTGGTGTCAGAACGGGATCTAAATTTCGGAAAAACCACATACAAGGATGGAGGTTAGAGGAGAAGTGGAGATACAGCAGGAGGTGCTGCGTTAAGCGGACTTGGGGGCATGATTCCTCTAATACTCTCCTTCACGGGGGATGCTGATGGCCTCAAATCCACCGATTTCTTCGAATCGGTAGATGAAATGGCTAAATTAACCAATTGGGCAAAGGCGCAGTGTTGACGGGGATAGCTAGAGATTTTGTGCCGAAGGATGCGAAGATGAAAGAAATCGAAACATACGACGAGTTTAAAACTTGGTTCGGACTGTAACTATATAATCTTAGCTTTCACTATTGAGTTTAAGGCTAACGGGCGCATTAAATTTGTATTTATAGCATATTTGCAGCAAATCTACAAAAATATTACATATGTTTAAGTCGTATGTAACAAATTTATTAGAAAATGGTATAAATATACGGGAGTAAATCCCAAGTAAGGATGTAAAATGTCACTTGCTAGCAAATCGAAGTAAGGCCACTGTGTGAGTGTAGGAACGAATTATATATATATATAGGATTCCGTACTTGCGAATCATTTATTAAATGATTAAAATAGTTTAAAACTAAGAATAATCACTTAAACTTGAAATTGTTTTACCAATTACAAGTTTTGTTTTCATTTATTGTTTGCCTTAAATTAACAGAAGTACGTTTCCATCAGAGAACGACTTGTGTTGCTTATAGTTTCGTGTAAAACCTTTTGAGTGGTTTTTTTTATTTTGATTGAATTAATCAATTAGCGATACATCGGTATATAAAACACTTTAGTGATATTTATGTATAAGGGACCGTCTACTTCCGACGAAGAGTATGACCTAGAATGACGTCGTGTCGATAGTGGACCCTACGATGATCGAACGAATTTCGTTCGACGTCGCCTTCTACCAGATTGCTGGGAAATAGCCCACTTTGATTCTGGTTTCAGAGCAAACACCGTATTAGAAAAAACGAGTATTGTTCGCTGGCATCGAGCACGTCAGGGAACAACGGAGATTCCGTTTAAGTTTCGTTCGTGCGTGTGTGTTTGAATTTCCATCTGTTCTCATGTCGTTTTACAGTGTTAAATCTTATAGCGTCGAAAAGTGAAGTATAGCTAAAAAGCGATGTATTCTATTGTAGGTTTTGTATTCTTGCATTTCTGTAATGTTTGATTTAGTACAGAGGTGATTTGCTAATTGTGACTCATTTTTTTCGTTTAGTTTCTTTTACGAAGCACTTGTCAATGAATTGTCTTTGTCTGCTCGATGTGATCTCCATCTTGTTGCCTCACAGTAAGACATCGCCGTTTCAATGATTTGAAGACCTTCTTGCCCTTCTTGAAAGTTTCGACCAATAGTGATGATCACTCCTCTTGAATTACTTTTCGAAGACCATCTAATGTTGTAGCCTTACGAAAAAAGAGACATTGTTTCAGGAAGCCAAATCCAAAGAAATCCATGGGGCTAATGTTAGGTGCTTTGTTGGGCATGTCCTTTATGTCCTCTGCAGGAGTGTGGTTCGGTCCACTGTCAGCCTTCACCTTCTAGAGACAAGCGGTTGTATCTAGCTGTGTGACTAAACGCTTTGTCATGGTGAAGAGTCTCTTTGGCTTCTTCTCCAGGATACAGCTGTGGAATCTTACTTTCCAAATATGATTTTAAAATGTTCTTCATATAGTAATTAGGGCTAACATTCGTAGTTTTTGGTACTCTAAGAGGAAGTGTCCTCCTGCTCGTCATTTCTTCAACAACTATAAATCTTTCAGGCCATCTGTCGTGACATTTTACAAGCCATTCTTCTGGCAGTTCCTGGCTGCACGTACAGAATTTTTTGAGTTTCATTGCAGTAATCAAGGTATATATACGCTTTCATCGAGGTTGGCCATGTACTCGCTTTTTCCTCCAGCCAATTATCTCTAATAGAGCTTCTTTGCAATAGTATTTTGGTTCTGGTTGTGCGCAGATGTGAGGCAACGTCCAGATGCTTTCTTCTTGGTAGCTGCTTGCAGATCTTCATGCATAATGGTCTTAACTGTGAACTAAGATATATCTAGACGTTCTGTTATGGTCCTTTGGCTAGGTGGATTTTTTCTAATCATTTTCATAACATTCATTATCTTAATACCGAGATTTGCGAGCCCTTACAAATATTGGGTGTAACTCACCAGAAGCACTCGTTTGTCGTTTTTTTCGTTTTGCTACCAAGCGCTCTGATAACTGTAAACTGGGAAACGTCAATTCCATTCTCTTGAGGGCTTTTACGACAGCGCGGGATGAAAGACCTTTGGAAAGAAGCTTGTTGCACACATCATCTTCACTCGCAACTGCTGCCTCCATTTTTAGAACAATCGAACTCAACCGTTCTTAGAATGTAAAGAAAAGCAACATCTACCAGTTTTTATAATTTGATTTATATTCGGCAGGTAGAACGAAAGATATTCGTTCGTGAATTTGAGTCATAATTAGCAAATCACCATTTGTATGTACGATGCTGCTGTATTTTTAAAATCAAATACATTATCATCCTTTGTGAATCTATCATTATGGATTATAGCGTGGCACACAAATCTTTTTGTCTATTGTAAACAGTATAACTGTATAAGGCTACAACGGACCACCAGTAGCCAAGCGGTCTTTGAACACTGGGGGTTCGGTCGTGGGTTCGCGCCTCGCTCGGACCGGACTGGCCACGTAGAGTTTTCCTAGTTTCTCCACGTCTGTAACGCCTAAATAGATACCAGTTTACTTTAAAAATATCTCCGGAAGGCATCTCCTTAGGCAAGATCGCCCAAGTGTTGCGTTACCATAACCAAACAAACGAACATAACGCTACAATACAAAAGAGTATGTAACATTATTAATAATTTTAAGAAAATAAAATAGTCATTTGTACTTAAGAATAAGACATCTATTCGTTACGTAAATATCATATGATCATACGTCAGTAAACAGTCTTATAGTTCTCCATTGGTCTTCAATGAGAGCGAAAGCGTGAAGATTGGTTCTGTTTTTTCTATCGTGTTTTTTGTTTTAATCTTAGTGCTATCTTAGGTTTTTATACAACTCTGGAATCGACTCGTCGTGTGCTTTATTATGTTGTATGTTTTTTTTTGGATACGATTGGAAATTTTACCAAGTTACGGGAATTTGAGTTTTCAAGTGTGACGGGCTTCATCGGCCAAATTACTTTTTTCTTGTTTTTGTATACTCCTTATTCAAAGATTATGGTATCAAAACCAGACGCCAAAGCCGAAGCCAGCAATCTACGTAGCCTTATCACACCGATCGGCGTGTAGCTATTTGTATTCGATATTAAGAATTTTCTTGTATATTCAGTTTATGGTCGGAGACCTCTGCTATTTTCACTTTCGTCTATTTGTTCAGTGTCATATTTGAATTGTCCAACTTTATCAATGTAATAGTAAGGAAGAGATTTCATAATCTTCAAGTTCAAAATCAACCGTAATGAACATTTCAGTCTTGAAATCAGAAGATAATCAGCATGAACAACTTTTGGAAGAGGAAAAACATCTTTCTCCAAATTAAATGCGGATTAGTTGGCGCGATTATTTCTCCTATTGTCATATACGGATGTGAAACTTGAAATCTAAAAAAAATGGACAGAAGGATAACAGATGCTTTCGAACTGAGGTGTTGGTAATGACTTCTGGATCACCAACAAAACTGTCTTAGACAGAGTCCAACCGAAACTCACACCGGAAGTCCAGATAACCAAACAAAAACTGGCCATTTTGGTCATATAATGACAAGCAGCTCCCTTGAGAAGGCGATGGTTATCGAGGAAAGAGCACGAGACCGATCGAAGACTCGATAGCTCGACACAATCAAAAGTGTCACTGAATTATCTATAACGGAACTGAAGGAAACTGTGTAGGATAGAAAGGCATGGAGAGCTTTGATCCATAGAGTGACCATGACTAAACGGATAACAAGAAGAAGCATTATAATAGCTCAATTATTAACGGTGATCGTTTGGCTAGGTTCCATTTCTAATTTACAAAAATTAAAAATTTTTTAAACACGTTAGAATTTATAAAATTTTCAATTGTTTTTTTAACCTCTACTGTTACTTTGAATTTGTAATAAAGCTCTATATTTTGATAGATTAGTTAAATATATATATACCTACGTAATATAATTTTAATATATAAAACTCTTCCGGATATATGACAGAGACACTACAGTTTGAATTGATCTCAAACTATACTCAATTATACCGATTATTTATAGACAATAAACTTAATATTATTGTTATATAATATATTTACTGGATGTGATAAACACAATTCAAATAAATAATCACATCTATTTTATTTATTGGAATTTATTCAGACAATTAATTGGTATGTGATTTTATTCCGAAACTCAAATTTTTGAAGATGTAATAGCATTTGCATTATGAAAATCGTGTAATGAGAAGCATATTTCATTTACTTTTCCCATAACTTCATGATAACATTGCCTTGTCTCTTTTCTTTGATTCTTTCTTCCATTGTCTTTTCTTGTTCTAAAATAAAATAAAATAATCACCATTCAGATTTTCTTTTTTTACAGCATAAACGGTCGTATATAGTTTGCATGATGGTACGTTTTAGAAAAGTAATTTCATTTAATTAAATAAACTGTTTGAAGTAACTTTAGAAAATCACAAATATAATCACTTACCATCGGGGAAGTAATCTTGCATAAATTCATTTATTAAATTACAGTTTTGCTTGTTGAAATCATAGATTATCAAGTAAGACAGTTACGAATCATTGTCATCAGCACAAAATGTTCCCTCGAAGTAGTTTTTGACTTTAAGTTTCAGGCAACCCCAAAACCCCACTCTGCCTCTTTCAAATATTCTTCCGCATGCAGGTTCACCTAATTGTGAGAATTTATAAGTCAGAACCTTCTTCTATTCAGAATTATTATAGTAATGTACAGTACTTACTACGAATAATTAAAGATTTTAAACCGTATCCAGTTATTAGTATTATTAGACAGGCGACAGCGAATATCTCTTTGAAAGGCATTCTGAACGTTCTCTAGTTGTTAAAATGCAAGAATTTAACGTATACAATAGCTTTTATATTGTTTTAATCTTTACAATTAAATTGATTTTTCTAAACAATACGTTTACCTAACAATAATATTCTTTAACGTAATTAGTATCCGTAACAGAAAATACCTTAAATGTACTTTAACGCTTTAATTGGTCTTGTTTTTTTAAGATTGGGGTTTCGAGATATTTGTCATTATGGATAATGGGGTGGGGATACCCTTATTATATATTAAACTGCATTTACACATACACAAATCATGATTACGTTCTACATTTGGTTATGTTTATCGGGTCTAAGAGGCGAAAAAGATAGTGAATTTTAAAAATGTTGAGAGATAAGCATCCTTACCAAATATAGTACCAGTACATGGTGAGAATAATTAAAATTTACTTTCGATAATATTCATTGCTACATCCGAAGTAATTTTCTTCGAAAGAAAATCGTTTTCTTAGATAGTGTATAAATTTTCAAGATTTTCTGTAAAGCGGTTGCCAAAATATAAGCAATTGAAAAGTGCGAAAATAGCGAAAAGAAAATGTTTTGTTATTTTTCTTAATCCGGCACCACAGATGCTGCTAGAGAAGAAATTACTGTGTCTAATACGCTCAAAGTTTAGACTTTAGCCTTCCTTCTTATCAGTGAGGTTCCGGCGAAACTTTCAGATAGATAGGTCACAGTTTACAGCGATTTCCCCTTAGAGATATTAAAGTATTTACGAAACTATTAAATTAAGAAGTGCCTCCTAATTTGGTATTTTTAGTTTTTACCGTTTCTGTATTATCGTTATTCACACATTCTAGTATCAAAGCCAGATTTCAAAGCCAAAGCCAGTTGTTTAATCCACGTAGCCTTGTTACACCGATCGGCGTGTAGCTATTTGTATTCGATATTAAGAATTTTCTTGTATATTCAGTTTATGGTCGGGGGCCGCTACTATTTTCATTTTCGTCTATTTGTTCAGTGTCATACTTGAATTGTCCAACTTTATCAATGTAATATTAAGAATGAGATTTCCTAATCCTCGGGTTCAAAATCAACCGTAATAAAAATTGCAGTCTTGAAATCAGAAGATAATCAGCATGAACAACTTTTGGAAGAGGAAAAACATCTCTCTCCAAATTAAATGCGGATTAGTTGGCGCGATTATTTCTCTTATTGTCATATACGGATGTGAAACTTGGAATCTAAAGAAAATGGACAGAAGGAAGACAGATGCTTTCGAACTGGGGTGTTGGAGCTGTCTATTTTATTTCTTTTATTATTATATATTTTAAATGTTTTGTTGTATTCTCGTTAACACACTTACCCTTGTTATACTTATATGCCCTACTCTTTTTATAATACTTGATTGGCCGTACTTGTGAAATACTGTATTTGCTTAAGGAATCTGGTTTGACTTTGTATTACTATGCCCAAAAATGTGTCACATCATTGACGAAAGACTTCAATAAACAACCAACGTATGTGATTATAGGACATCATAGATGCTGTACAACTGTGTTGAAACTCTATACAGTGTCCTTCATCGATAGGTCTAATGTACTGGTTCTTCCCTAAACAATATATGATGTTATGTATTTGTGCTCAGAAATGTGTCTCATCAATGATAAAAGACTTCAATAAATAATCAACGTATCCGTACATTGAACGTCATAGATGATGTACAACTGTGTTGAAACCTTATTTAGCGTCTTCCTTCGGCTGGTCTACTGTTCTGGCTGGACTACTACTCTGGTATAATTCCACAAACGTTGTGCAATAGTGATATTCGAGAAGAATTTGTCTGCTACATATGTGAATTAAGTGCATCTACTGGCATTGTGATTCTGTATCGGCGTTTGCTTCTCATGCATACATAAGAGGCAAATTTTGTGGATAACAGTGGTGTGCCTGGAGCTGTACCATGGCAATAAGAATCACACAAGATATACCTGGAGCTATGCTAGCAGCAAGATTTATAAGGAAGAGCAAAGGCGTTGGACAACTAATTCTGGAAAATCGTTGACAGAGGACTATATTCTAATAAGATCTGTATAAGTCTCCTGGTCTGGATTGTGCAGGAGTTTCACTTCAGCAGAAAAAAAAAAAAACTACTTTTATCTAGACTG